GTCTGCCGGGTCTGTCCTATCCTTGGGAACGAGTGCGCCAAGCCGGATGATGCCGTGACTCTCCTGTTCGGTTCGATCCTCGTCGGCACTGGCCGAAAATCCAAACAGATTACACGACATTTGAAAAATGGCAAAAGGAGGGAAAATTAATAAGGTGCGGTTGAGATGGGGAGTTGATGTCCTAGTGGATCGAGGTCATGATACCTCAGGTGGTAGAGCAGCGGCGTATCTAGCCGAAGGTCGTGGGTTCGAATCCCTCTCGTGCCATTAACTTTTTTTCATCTCAACTAAAAACCTTAATTAATTGTTTCGATCTTTATTGAGATCATCTTCAGGGCTCAACGTTTTTGTTTTCCGTTTAGACGTGTCATTCTTGTGTGACGTGTCGTGTTTGATAGGAGGTTCTTTGATTGTTTATGTTCGTTGAGTAAATTTCATGTTTCTTCATTTTCTTGTTGTCTAAGTACTCATCGATAGTGTACAGCCCTAGGCCACAGAAATGCTCGGAACATCAGTGGTATGGGCGTCGGCACTTCCCCCCTCTATTGGGGACATGTCCTGTTACTCATCAATGTGTGATTTTATTTTGCATACCTACTATATTTAGTTTAGTTTTGCAATTCAACACCATCTTTGAGCTAATGATATATGCTACTAGTGCTCTGATGTTGCTTGGCTGTCTGACATGACAGCTGTATTAGTGTTTTTTGGACCTTTTGTTCAGACTGAACTGGGCACATTGCATGGAATTCAGACTGGAAGATACTGGTGTATTGTCCCATGAGTTCTGAGTATTTGGTGTTCTAGAGCAATAGTTTGTGCCGTTCCCGACGGAGAAGTTTCTTTCCTTTCCCTACTTCTTTGCTACTAAAATTTATTTAGAAATTTTGCGTGAACTGTAACATCCTGCTCATGGTGTCTCCTGAGGTCTCTTGTTCCTGCATAAGAATAATAGTATAATAATATTGTGTCGAATAGAGGTTAAACGGTATTTATCTGAATTTGTGTTTTTTTTAAATATATTTATTACGATTTTAACAACTGTAAGCTTTAGTCGCAAGAAATAAATGGGATAGCAGACATAGTGACAATCTAACATGTTATATGTTAAGGGAAGTCACTCAGCAGAGACACGCCCTCACATTGAGGCAATCATCTCTGCCACAAACGACGTGAATGATTTCTAGGAATTTTGGGACCACAAAAATATTGGACAAGTAGAGGTGAAGGTTTTCATTTTTTGGACGCTTTTGTATCAGGAAGCCAATTGCAAATGGGATTTGTAAGTCACTGTTGATTGTTTTGGTTTGAAATGTAGAAGAGACTGTTTACAATTTTTTTAGTCCATTTACGTTTTAGTGGTCAATTGACCAAGTTCAATTAATTATTCTTTTTATGTAAGGTCTTGGTTGAGATAAAAAAGCCAGTGTCACGAGGGGGATTCGAACCCACGACCTTCGGCTAAATACGCCGCTGCTCTACCACTTGAGCTATCGTAACTTAGATCCTCTCGGATATCAACTCTCCATCCCAACCTACAATCGTTCGAATTTTCCCTCTTTTGCTATTTTAAAATGTTGTGTAATCAGGATTCGATTCTCAGCGACTTATCAATTGGCAACGGGGAGCTGTTAGTGAAGTGATTCTTCTTTTACTTATTAAATATTAATCCATTTATGTTTTAGTGGTCAATTGACCAAATTACTTCTTTCAATTAATTATTCTTTTTATGTAAGGTCTTGGTTGAGATAAAAAGTCAGTGTCGCGAGGGGGATTCGAACCCACGACCTTCGGCTAAATACGCCGCTGCTCTACCACTTGAGCTATCGTAACTTAGATCCTCTCGGATATCAACTCTCCATCCCAACCTACAATCGTTCGAATTTTCCCTCTTTTGCTATTTTAAAATGTTGTGTAATCAGGATTCGATTCTCAGCGACTTATCAATTGGCAACGGGGAGCTGTTAGTGAAGTGATTCTTCTTTTACTTATTAAATATTAATCCATTTATGTTTTAGTGGTCAATTGACCAAATTACTTCTTTCAATTAATTATTCTTTTTATGTAAGGTCTTGGTTGAGATAAAAAAGTCAGCGTCACGAGCGGGATTCGAATTTAGCCGTATGCGTATTTAGCCGAAGGTCGTGGGTTCGAACTGGCTGATTTTTTTATTTCAACCAAGACCTTACATAAAAGACTAATTAATTGAAAGAAGTAATTTGGTCAATTGACCAGTAAAACTTAAATAGATTTATAAATCTATGTTCCATCCACCTGATTAGGTTAAAATATGGTTCGATAATAACAAAATAAAAAAAACATTACAATATACCTTCATACCTATCCTATAAAGTATAGCCAATTCTACCATAATGTATCATACCTATGTCAGTATTAACAGATATTATTAATATGCAAATATTAACAACATAACGCCACTCCAAGGGTAATAACCTTTACAGAGATCACAACTATAGATTTGTTCCAATAATTTAATGCTATATATAACACTCAAGTTAATCCATTTACGTTTTAGTGGTCAATTGAATTTTTATGTAAGGTTTCAGTTTTTTTTTAAGCATTTTTCGTTGGTCCCACACTCCAATTCGGTACGTCCATATCGGTCTCAGGAGGGTCTTGTAAATGGATAATGGATTAATAAAAGTGTAAGTTATATCTTTATTCGAGTAATTTATACCGTCGGTATTGAGTATATCGCATCGTGAAGGTACTCTTGGGATGTTTGCAATACGTTATTTCGCTATTTTCTCCCTCGCAGCTTCTTTAGCCAAACGGTCTGCCTCCTCGTATATATCCATGTATGATGCATGTTTTTTCGTGATCAATTAAAAAAAAAAAAAAAATACCGTCGGTTAGTTTCCTATCTTTTTAGTCGTGTATGGGGATTCTACCTTACCCTTTTCTCAATATTTTGTGTTAGCTTAGGTCTATTATGGCATATTACGACTATTTCACTGTTTGATTATAACCAAGAAGAATGCTCATTTCATTATTTTAATATCTGTAATGTAAAATAAAATTATAATAAACGATATTCTCTATCTATTTGAATTGCTTTAGAAACTGTATTAAATTATTTAATATTTTTTGAGAACGTATTTTTGTGCATGAAGGACCATGGGGTACATTAACGTAGGTGGTAATATCATTTTTGATATTTTGTCTTTATACCTTCGAGATGATTTGTTGGAATTACGTTTGATGTGAAATGGCTTGTTTATGAAGTAATATAAAATATAAGATAATTAGAGCTCAAAATGACAGGGTGATTATGTGAGTTCCATACAAACGTTATGTTCACCATCAAAGAGTTCTCATACAACAAAATATATGGTAGAAAATATGATTTACCTACGTTTTAACTGAATGTTCGTGATCGTTTCACCGTACCCATTCAGTTTAAACTTGAATAAAACAAATTAAAAAACAGCTCGATATGACACTTTCTGAACGTAGAACCGAACTTCAGTTCAATACCAAACGTGAAAACGATAATTGTTAAAACAAGCCGCAGAAACCATTTGTCGGCGACCGGACATAAAAGTGAGAAGCTTTCATTCCCTTGGGCAAAAACCTACAGCGATACGTGTTTAATCAAGGGACAATGGAATTTATGAGATGATTTGTATTCTCTAGATGCAAATGCCGCACGCGACGCAAAACAACTTGTTAGAGAGAATTGGGTCAAGGTTTTTGTCGGTTGTAGGTATGAGAAAGAAATTAAAAATAAGTCCGCTTAAATACTTTGTTTACTTACGAACAAATACAAACGAATAATACCTTTACCAGCTAAAAAGTTGTGAAAAGGACCAACTCGCGATTTGTTTTGTTCTTGGCTAAAAACTTCTGGACAATGCAATTCAAGTTCAACTTCTCCACCCATCTGTCATTGTTATATGGAAGATAAAACAAAACCTTTTAAGTAAAAACGGAATTTAATTTTTGCCGGAAGAGAGCTTGCTACCCCTTGAATCGATACAGTCTGGTAAAAATGTGTGTTTCTTAGTGGCCATTTGTTGAAGTCGTGAAGAGCAGTCAAGAAGGTGGTAGTTTAGAAAAACACCTTTTTCATATATTGACGACGTTTCGACCTACATTTGGGTCATCTTCAGGGCGTAAAGCGTGGTATTATTCTTGTGGTGTCATATTGGTTTTATGTGGTTGTGACAAAACCATATAACACCGCAAGAATATCACCATATTTTATGCCCTGAAGATGACCCGAATAAAAGTCGAAACGTCGGGAAAAAAATGAAAAAGGCGTTTTTCTAAACTACCTTCTTCTTGACCTCACGACTTCAATAAATGATCACTAAGAAACACACATTTCTACCAGATTATATCCATTCAAGGGGTAGGAAGCTTTCTTCCAGCAAAAATTAAATTCCGTTTTTACTTAAAAGGTTTTATTTTATCTTCTATATAACAACGACAGATGGATGGAGAATATTGAACACTGAATTGCATTGACCAGAAGTTTAGAAATGTTAGAGGTAGTTTAGAAAACACCTTTTCATTTATTGACGACGTTTCGACCTCTATTCGAGTCATCTTCAGGGCATAAAGTGTGGTGCTATTCTTGTGGTGTCATATTGGTTTTGTGTGGTTTTGACAAAACTATATGACAAAGCAAGAATAGCACCAAACTTTATGCCCTGAAGATGACCCGAAGAAAGGTAGAAACGTCGGGAAAAATGAAAAAGTCGTTCTTCAACAAATTACAATCTGGTTTTTTGAAAATTGCCTATATATTGTGACAGTTTGAAATTTAAATTTATCTCTATTTTTTAAAATGCTGTTGTTTTCGTTTTCGTATAAGTAGAACACAATGAATTAACGTGAAATATAATCTATTAGAATGAATTATAAATAACTTGTCTTACCATTTCTTCTGAGTACGTCTTCATCACAAGACCTTTGGGGAGGTGTCTTTTCCTTTTTTTCGCACCATATAATAGGAAACAATTGAAACTAGTCTGTTCTGAATTAAACATTTATTCTTACTCCTTTCTGGCTACACATAACTTTATATCTCACCAGTTCAGAGGTTACATTACATTAAATGTGTTATTATTTACTTTCATTTAGCTTCATTTAGCACTAAACAACTATATTAATATGATATGTCCAATTAGACACTTAGAATACACTTTGTTTTGTTGATCCTTAAACGATAGAAAATAAAGACAACGTGCACTATTTTAGATAAATTTTCCTTTTGAAATGAACGCCGAAGAAGGCGGAAATTGAAGATTTGGGAGCCTACCTTTAATCCCATGTTTATGTCTCGCTTACAGACCCTCAGTAAATTACATATAAGGGGAACACCCAAAATATAATCTAAAATTCTTATAACAACGGTATTTATATAATAATATTATATTTTATTAATATATAACTGTAGACAACACCGATTTAAATAATTTAAAGCCATCTGTTAGGCCTAACTTCCAACGATAACTATAATAGAGATATTTATAAAAAAAAATATATTAACTTTATTATATTATGATATGTTTTTTATTAGGAGCTATGATATGTATTTATTTACTTTTTTTTAAATTGATATGTATATGTTCATACTGTGCCGATATACCATTATACAAAAAAAACTTACAAATTTTACTTTTTATTAAAGCTAATATTTACTTGCACAGCTCGAGAAGGATGAGACTTGTCAGACTCGATACAATTTTGAAAATATGTTCACCTTTGTTTTCAGTTATATGATCTATTATTGTGTAAAGTTAGTTCCGTTGAGTTGAGCTTAGTTTGAAACACCCTCACCAAGTTTGTCGGGCCTTAAACCACGCGTGACTTCAATACAGTCTAAAAGGTCGCGGTCCGTCTCGAGCAGAATTTCAGAGAGTCACAGAGAGAGAGATTTACATAAAGAAGGAACAAAAATAGAAAAACAAATTGGTCGGGCTTAATATCGAGCCCAGCCCAGACAAAAGATGAATATACTTAAAGGAAGTCATAAATTATTGGGTTCGAAAGTCGAATTGGAGAGGTAAAGGGCTGAAATAGATCTACGGCTGGGATGAAGCAGCTTCTAGCGGCGGAGGTGGTTGAAAGCATCCAACGATTTGCTGGTTATGCGCTTTTCACCCGCCGTCCTCTCGATGTCGCCCTTCACTTGATCAGAAGCTACCGGTCCTATGCAGACGAGCGGGTCTTTGAAGTAGGAGCACACCTGAAATAAAGTCCGATTAAACAGAAACAAATAAACACCAGAAAGTCACACAAGAATGTAGTAAGGGTTTTTAATAATCATTATAGGTAAAACCATGAGTCGAATCAAAAAGTAATACACTGACAGGTAGAAATTCCACCTAATTGATTTTTTTTTTTCATTTTCTCGATAAAAGAAAATTCTGCCCTGAATCTGTCTTTCATTTTTTTATCAATAAATGTTTATGCTACGTTTCAAATGGTGAATATTTATTGGAGGTAAACACACTTAATCCTTAATCCAAAACATGGTTAAAGGATTTTTTAATGTTTACTTTTTACGGAATTTAAAATGTTTATTCAGTCTCATTTGAATCCGAAAGCAATAAACTGTTTAGTTTTAATCCTTGTTTTTTTTAATTTCTTAAAACTTAAACTTAAAAATGCCACTTAGTGTCTAGGATATTGCGGATGGTGTGGCATTGATGATGGACGTTCCATCAGGTATGCGGCTATTGCCATCGGAGTTACCTACGAAGCTCTGCAAGACGCCGTTAGACGTTTTCGAGAAATTGGGTCCTAACATAGAAGGCCCGGTTCTGGACACCCTAGGGTAACAGAACCACAGGATGACCGTTTTTTGACTTTGAGAATTTTGTGAAACCACCACCTTACTGTTGTTCAAACGATTCATCAGCTCCAGGAAGTTCGAGATGTCCCAATTTCAGAACGCACTGTTCGAAGAAGATTAAATCAGTATGGACTGATGGCTTTTCGCCCCATAAGAGGACCAGAATTGACCAGAACAAACAGCGTAGCATGGCTCGCATGACACAGCCAGTCTTTGGACATTTGGTTTAGTGTACTTTCTTCAGATGAATGTAGATTTGCTCTACGATCTCCGGATGGGCGTAAAAGAGTGTGGAGAAGGCGAAATGAAAAGTACGAAGCCTGTAATTTTTCTCGGAGCCAACCTATTCAACGTAGGTCAGTGACGGTGTGGGCGGGAAACAGAGTTGGTTGTTGTTCGTGGAGGGTCTTTGACGGCCACTCGCTATGTGGAAGTAATTTTGGAACATTATATGTTGCCACTCCTCGATGAAATCAGCGACAATCCTATTCTAATGCACGATAATACCCGTCCACACATCGCTCGCATAGTACAAAGTACCATCAACAGCATAACACCAGGGTCGTAGCCTGGCCCGTTCTCCAGACATGAAGCGCATCGAAAATTTATAACCTCAAAAGACACGTCCATCACTTCCTGGTACACTCCACAAACTTGAAAGGACTCTTCGTGAAGAATGGGCTAACCTCCAGCAAAGAGACATTTCCAGACTGGTAGAAAGTATGCCGAGGCGTCTTCGAGATGTAATTAAGGCAAGAGGAGTAAATAGCGATATTGAAATATTAATTAAAAATCTAAAACAAAATTAAAACAATTTTTATATGTCCGTCTTTTTTTCCCCTTATAATTTTTACTTTATTAGACAAAGACTCAATTATTAAACGTTAAAAAACATGAAACTCTGATTAATATATAAAAATATATACAAATCAAGTTATATTACAAGTGGGTGGAATTTTTGTCAGTGTACATTTGTAGTAATTGTATTTCTAGTAATTAATAAAACCATTAAAAAAAAAATTCTCACATTTACCCAGTTTCTCTGTTCCGCACGGTTTTGCCTATCCAATTTGCACTACTATTTATTATTACCAACAAAAAACTGCGACATCCATATTGGTGTTGTTGAAAGTCAAGGCTAACAGGAGAAAATTAAATTGCTTTTCCATTTCGTTCGGGATGGGCAAGTATACCAGCAATTCCACCTCTTCGAATTCAGTTAGCAAACATCTTTACGTTACCCAATTGAATTCCTTGCGGATAAAGACCTGAGGCGACCCAACGCGATATCAAATCCCCGGGTATCTTAACTCATCTGACTTTTTTTTAACAATGGAATATAATATTCCCTTATGGGACATCTGTGTCTTTTATGGAGTAAGTGTTGCTACCGTGCAAGTCTTAAAAAGTCGATTCTAATCGATATTAAAATAGTTTTAAATTAACACTTAAATCTTATCAGGTCGAATTATTTAAAAACACATGTTCTGGACTGTACGGACTGCAAAGTTAAAAATGTGCTTTAAACAATTTGAGATCTGTAGATTAGTTCTATAAAAGAGGCTATCTGTTACAATGGAATCCTTAGAAGTGACATTTTTATGTGTATTTTATTCGCTATTTCATTAAAGAATCTCTTATCAGAAGGAAACCAATTAAATGCAAATATAAAGAAAAATCCACCTTTATTACTGAACGATGGATTTGCTTTTTCAGAACAAAGATTGTTAAGTTATTTTAATTGTATTAAGCATTTGACAGAATATGGCACCCCGCCTCGTTTACAATTTAAAACATATCCTCCCTCATTCCTACAAACTTATCCTGAAATTCTTATTTTCGGACGATGGTGTGAGAACCGGGACCGATTTTTCACACATAACGCCAATCAAGGCGTTCCACAAGGAAGTATCCTAGGCCCAATCCTGTACACAATCTACACTTCTGAGATACGCACACAACTTTCTCGGATGACACAGCAATCTTATCAACACACTACAATCCTATCCTATCAACGGAAGCAATCCAACAACATCTGAATCTCATTACCGACTGGTGCAATCTGTGGCGGATAAGGTTAAACGAACAAAAAAGCCAAGTTACGTTTACGCTCAAATGTCAAACCTACCAGTGCACATTAACAACAAGATAGTACCACCATCGAACCAAGTCCTCTACCTTGGGCTTTATTTAGATAGTAGACTTACATGGAAGCCACGTATAAGGTTAAAATGGCAAGAACTTAACGTATATATGGACTACTCAGACACCAACGGGGTCCAAAATCAAAACTAAGCACACATAACAAACTAACCGCTTACAAAACACTCATCAGACCCATTTTGACCTACGGAGTCGAACTGTGGCTCGTCCAAATCATCCAATATCCAACGAATTCAATCTTTTCAATCTAAAGTTCTCCGCCGTATCCTCAAGCCCTCTTTTACGTCACCAGTCGAATAATCCATAATGATCTTAAAATCCCATTCGCGAAGGATCTTATCCGAACAAGGTTCCTCAATTTCCACTCTAAACTATCCCTCCAACCTAACCCACTAGCCCTAACTCTTTCCTCAACGTCTCACCCTTGCAATCCTCCGTTTAAAACGACGATGACCTTGTGACCTTCAATCTAAACCACACAATTAAATAAAAGAGAGTTCCAAGACTGGCTGGTTTCTCTCCCCACTGCCTCCGGGTCTGGCAGATCTGTCAGATTTGTTTATAACTAAACTATTTCCTCAATGTATATTTTGTACAGATAACAATAAATAAAATTTAAAAAAATGATTTAAAAAAAAGTTATTTTGCAATAAATATATTGGGAAGTTTAGGGGCTGACAAATATCTAGCGTCATCGCTGGCCCTCTGCGTATTTATACATCCTTTCCTGGTCTTTCACGCTTATTTTTCATCTGCATCAAATGAGCGTCTCGATCTGTTAATGACTCTCTGATTTTGTGTCATAACTAAGTCGACATCATAAAATGCTAGTCTCTCATCTATACCTGAGGTTGTCAACTATAGAATAGAAACAAAACATACAATACTTATGTATAAATCACCACTCTATAAAAACGTAGGCGTCTGGTCACAATCCTCGGGGTGGGGTTAAACAACACCTTCCTGTCACGCTAATAAATTACATTCATTTAACGAAATAACTAAACGCAACACCCGATACAAACATAGAGGTCTGGTCACATTCACTCTCTAGGAGTACTCGATATTTCTCGGGGGTCAAACCTACACCATTCTCGCTAATAACTTACTTTTACTGCCCAGACGTCATACACTCATCCCAGAGTATTCGATATTCCGCGGGGCTGCATATTAAAGTAGTCTTTTCATAAACTGGACACCATTTTATTTTAAAACATACATATGAAATGACGTGTTTGATTCAAAGGATCATTCAATACTAAAATAGGATGTCTAAGATGTAAAATTACACGAGTCAGGATTTGAATGCAAATTTGATTGCATTATGATGTACCTTTGACCTTTCAAATGCTAATATGCACAAAACTAAATCGATGTTCAGAATAGTCGACATAATTGGTCAAATTATCAAGCAACAATCCCCTCCAAAATCTCACAAAAATAATAACCAATTTTGGAGAATAATGATATCAAGCGGTGAAAATGTTTTTTTAGTATATTTTATCCAAAAAAGCTAACAAGTTACACCTACAAGTGGGTTAACCATAGGTTTACCAAGAAAGAAGAGTTTGCATTTTGAGCCTGCTCCATATGACACCGGCTTAAAACTGAACTTAGCATTTCAATAATTTTCTAAGCATTTTTTTGACGAAGTGTAAACAAGAGGACTATTTTATGCGAGGGATTGCATTTAATACAGGAATAAAACCCGTCGATTTGCCTCGACCTGCTTATAACCCGGACGCATTCATGTATGGTATTTTCAAGTCAATTGAGCATATTTAGAAAACAATGTTTTCTTTCATGAAACTGACATTACCTCAAAATAATTTAAAATCTTAAAATAGATAAATTTTAAAAGCAAATAAAGTAAGTACAGTATATAAAATTTTTATTGTTATTAATTATTATATATTATGACAGCCATGCCTAACATATATTTTAAAAAGACCTGATAATCATAAATAATGAAATAATGTCTCCGGCAGACTGTTATTTTGACAACGGAGTATTGTACTTTTGGTTTGTCATAACTTTGTAAATTTATTCTTATAAAATAAAGGTTTAGTTAATTAATTATTGTTTAAACAATAATTATTGAGTTGAGTATGATGGCATACAATCATACAGACCTTGTGCTTTTACCCAGACCTGAAAACCCGCCTGGCATTGTCAGAGATGAGATAATTAAACGTTGCGGAACAGAGGAATTGTGATTAATTAGTTAATTAATGTTTCCTTGCAGGGATCCCCTTCATCTATGTATACTATTTCGCAACGGGTTTGTCAGAGGATCGGTTTATATGTGGGCGAATTTACACTACTTTGCCTCTTTACGAGAATAAATCCACAAGCCGATAATTAACGAGCAGGGCTTAGCTGGGCTTAGAGAGGACGAGAACAAAGTGTAACTAGGCTTAATCCTATTTCCCTTAATAACTCGATATTTTGCAACGAGCAGATTTTTCGCCGGGGGGGTTACACGTCGGAAGGGCTTCTGAGAATGACAGCGCTTTAAAGTCATATCATGTCTAATCCGGGGAAACTTGAGCTTAGTCCGGGCTGAACTGTACATTGCGTAAATTTGAGACGGTTGAAAAGAAAATTCAATTACCTTACGAGCCGCTTGTCTGTGTCTCCTTTGGTACTGACAGCACAAACCTCGGTGGATGTCGCACTCGTTGCTTATTGTACACTCTTCATCTATAAAAAAAAGAAAAAAAGAAACAAAATTTATATGCAAACATACATTTCCTTGGCTACGACCAATGTATGATGTTCAATAAATAATAAACATTGGAATAACGACAACATTAATTGTACATGTACGGAAGGTAACAAAAATTTTTTAAATTAATATAATATTTTTTTCATTCTACCATATACACCTAAAATCAAAGAAAGCTTCAGGTTTTAATCTTATTAATCCGAAAATATTCCAACATCTTCCCAAAAAAGCAACCACATTTATTACATACTTATGTAATTCTGTTCTTTATACAATCTACTTCCCTAAAGCTCTAAACCCAACAAACCAACAGATTTACTACCTCATATAGGACAATACGTCTACTACCGATTTTGGTTACAAGTTTATAAAAGCTCCTTTTGAAAAGAGTTCTTCCAATTTCAAATTCTCAACATATAACCCCGGACCATCAGTTTGGTTTTCGCAACTGTCAGTGTCATCGCGTGGTATACATTATTTCCTCCTCCCTGGAGATGGGACAGTACTGAACCGAGTCCTTTCTTGACGTAAGCCAAGCTTTTGATCGATTTTGGCACCCGGGTTTGCCGTTCGTGCTCTGGGGCATCCTTCCATTTACCTATTATCTCATACTGCACAGTTACCTCACTGGCCGGTTTTCCGAGTCATTTATGGCACTTCGGTTTCTGCGTATTTCCCTATACATGGTGTGTTCCTCAGAGTGGCGTTCTGGACCCACACTACCACCACTCACATTTGCAGACGGTACAGGGATCCTATCTAGTAACTCCAATCCTGACATATCCACCCGAAACCTTGCAGTATTGGTGTGAAAAGAAAAGAATAAAATTTAACACAGACAAATCCACTAAAATTAACTCTCCTTAAAAAGATCTCCCTTCGAGTCGACTTTTATAAAAAACAATATTTCCCTCCCAACTGGGAATAAGGTGTGGTACCTCGGACTGTACATCGACAATCGCCTGACTTGGAATCTTCCCACACTACTAAAATTTCAAGATCTTATGACACGTTACATGGCTAATGCACGTCTTTTGGACAAAAATAAAAATATTTAAGCCGATATGTATTTATGGACTGGAAGTGTGGTGTTCAGCCAAAGGTTTCATCATCCGCCGCATCCATATTGCCCAATCTTACGAAAAATCCTGACGCTCTATATTATGTATCATCGAAACTACACATACAAACTTAATTATTCCTAAGGTCTAAGGGTATGGGCCAATTCATCGAAGGCACTAGGAACCTCTCTACGTATTTCCGTATCCTTGCTAGTGATCCTCAGGGTAGCGTTCTGACCCCACTATACCAGGTGTATACAGATGACATTCCATTGAATCCGCAAACCACCACAATCACATTTGCAGATAAAATTATCTCTTGTAAATCCGATCCTGTCACATCCACTCGAAACCTCCAAAACAACATAGTTAAGCCGATTTTGACTTATGGACTGGTAGTGCGGTGTTCAACCAACCATTCCAACATCCGCAGCATTGAAACTACTAAATCTTTATTTAAATAATTAATTAAGCTCCATTTTTTATATCGAACCTAACTGTACATTTACTGTAAATATTCCTTTCGCTTAATGAAATCCGTTCCCCTTACTGTAAATTTCATAAATTTCCCGACGAATTCGCTCGAACCCTCCTGATCGACTAAAGATGGCCGCGAGATCACCTAGGAAGTGATGGTGATGATAGTGAAAGAATTAGTAACACAAGTATTAATTAAACAGACAGCATTTTACTGGCACTGGAGTAGTGAGTGTTACACGGTAATATTTGAAGGTAGTTGTAATGTACTGGAAATTAAAAAAAGAAAAATGAAATAGACGTGATAGTGACATAGTTTATTTCTATCGCGTACAAATGGTAAAACAACTTCGCGTGTCTGTTGACGCTTTAAGCGTTTCGGTTGATGATCTAAAAACTTTCTTTACAATGCAAGGTTCGTTTTATCGTCGGAAAGACTGTGGGTGGAAAAGGAAGGTGTGAAATCATTAAATCTCCCCCTCTTGATTTCTAAACCACCCTTTCCCTTTGAGATCACCTTGCCAGGTTGCCAATTTGGAATAGTACTCGATGTTTTCCCGACTTCCTCAGCATTCAAGCGATACTAATCTTAAAGATTATGGCGCGAGTTCTCTCTCCAGAATCCTAATTTGGATTTTCTGATATTGAACGCAAGTTGACTTTCTGAAAGCAATTTCGACGAAAGCGACCAAGTGGCACAAACAATTTCTGTCTAAAAGCAGTGTCATTAATTTAATGAATGAAATATTTTTAGCTAATATTTCTCATCGTTAGTTCGATATTAATGAACTATTGTTTCGAAATTACCTTGGAGTGAACATAACCTTGCAACTCCCATTATAACTAAAGTGAACAAAGCTAAGCAAGGATTGGTGCGATTTGGAAAGGGATGATGCAGGACCATATTGGTATTGAAATTCAGAGTGTTCTTTACAGTCTTCCAGATCTATGGTCTTCTATGGTGCTTAGGTATGGGGAGAAAAGGAGTATAAAGAGTTTAGTGACTGGGAGTTTTGTTGACTCTGAAAAGGGCCGGTGTTGAATCGTAGCGTCGAGACGATGAATCGAGGCCGGAACCGTGTGCGTGTGCAGCTGGTGGTGGTCTATGAACGAGAGAACCGTCTGAGGGCCGTGAGTCGGTTGACTCCGCAGTGGCTGCAGGGACTCGAGTCCAGCAGTTGGCGTTTTTAGCCAAGTCGGCTGTGTCAAGAAGGCGAGAATCAGGCTAACGCTGCGAGTACCCTTGCTGTCGTCGTTGCCGATGACAGTGTTCCATTAGTTATTTGTGAGAGCTCGTTTTGGAGACGAGTCTGCTGTCGTTGTTGATTACTGATGGATGTGACCTCGTCGGGCTGGGGAGTCTGAAGTCAACGGGCAGTGCCCATGTTTATACCCGAAGGGGCTCTACTCTCGCTGCAGAGTGGAGGGCGAGAACATTCCATAAGCAGTAGTGGCATCTAGTGATAACGTGGTAACTACATGTGGCCACTACAGGGAGGTAGAGTTATTCTTCAGACAATATAGTAAAAAGCTATAAACTGATCTACAGCACCCCACAAATTTCCTATTTATGGAAACCCACTATAATTCGATGTTCCATATATAATCAAACTACTTTACGATTACATACTAAAGGTACTGAATATGTCCGAAAGTAGGTACCCAATAATAGTGGCTATGGAAATCATAGTTAAGAGATCGTAGTGGTTCAAGGATATCCTTGTGATGACGGCCAAATTGAACACTGAATTACCCACTCAATTAAATAATATTGAAGAACGTTAAATCTTTGGCAATACTCAAACGTTAAATATAGTTCAATGGCGTCGAAGAATTTTAGAGGAAGACAGGTTAAGTGAAAAATGCTGTAAAAAATAATATTTTGGCCGTTTTGGTTTGAATTCGTGCATTTCAATTCGGTTACAAAACTGTGTATTAAAATCAGGAAGTTTGTAAAAAAAATTTATGTTTATTTGGTTAAACATATTCAAGGATATCTGCGTACGAAAATAATAAACAATTTAGCATAAAGCTATGCTTCTGTTTCATTTTTTTAACTTCCATTTCTCTCTCGATTTACATGATTATTGACGAATAACTTTTTGATACGGAGCGTCGGTGGCCGCAATGGTTTAAGCGTTGACACGGCGCTCATCCTCGTAAGGTAACGATCCCGGGTTCGAATCCAGCGGCCCTACCCTGCATTCGAAACCGACATACTTACAAATGTGCTTTTTTTTAAACACCGGCCCCCGAGGGTTGATAAAAAAAAATAATAAAAAAATAATAAAATATTATTTTTTATTAAAAAATAAATAAATTTATTTATTTTGAATAGAATTCCAAAGCATTCAGCTTGTTAATGGTTGGCTAAAGTTTTTGTATTGTGTCAGGTTGTGACGTTTTATCGCTTTGAAACATTTACTTTTCACATGTGAGAACAAAGGAACCGAAATAAAAGGATGACAATGGTCGGAGTAGGGAGATTATAATTTCCATTTCGACTATTTTCCTTATTCGGAATATGATGTTATGTTAAATTGAGTGAGTTTCAAAATTTCAATATTTCAGCGTTGTCCTGTTGCTCTGGAGTCCTAGAACAACAAGTTCAGAGTTGTTCGTGCCCGGGGACATTAAGAAGCGTTCGTGACCAATGCCTCCTCCACAGAATATTATAATCCGGAGCAATAATAAATGGGCCTCCTCGGTTCGAAACCCTTTCTCCATTTCCCCAGAACCGGCGGCACGAGATGTCAAAGTTCATAGTCAAAAGCTCTTTCGAAACTGTGTCAAAGGGAGATTTTTTTAATCAGTTTCTAACTCGCAGCTTTTGAGCGCTCGGGGATGTGAGAGGTAAAAGCCAGCCGACGGTGCAGGCTTTTAAAAGTTACAAGTTTACTTTGTCTCATCTTTTCCTTAATGGTTAAAAACGGAGCCCATTTTTGTTGCAAAAAAAGCTAATTGTTTGGAAACTAAATATCCTCATTTCTCACTTGCAATATTGACAAACTTAAAATTCCTATAATGTCTAAAACATGACTCGGCAGGCAATTTGAATTTGTGAGAATCATATCTTTTCATATCCTTCTTATATCATATTACGCTTACCGTGACAGATCTACGTATTTGGTCTCTTTTAGTTAAAACCTCGATTTTGGCTTGGTGGATGAGAGTTGACCACTTGACTTTTCTCGATTTTAGATATAACATCAACTTCTAAAAACAAGAAAAAAACAGAATGGGAAAAAATCCTCCAGACCATTTCGACTGTCCCCTGTTTTGTCAGACAGAATCATTAATATGGACCTACACCACGAGCGTATATTTGAAGTTTATGGAGTGAGTTGACGTCGCAATTTTTCGCAAGTAGGTTGGAGAAAATTCATTATAAGAATTATGAACCATAAATATGGTGCATTCTATACCAATCTGTGAAGAAATTCAGCACTTATGAATGTCCTTGTAAACCACAAGGAATAGGGATAAAAGAGGTGGCCACAAGACCTTCTATACCTCGACCTGAGTGGACCTGACCTATTGTGCTCTTTTAATTTTATAAATCACTGGCTTTATAAATTCAGGCTGTTCATCGATCTCGATAGCCTCGCCAGCGCTCAGTGTAGGATCTGGCAGCAGCTTCTCTACTATTGGGTTGTCCGGAAAATAATGCAGGATTTTAAGTTTTCATTTAAAAAAATCTATATAAAATATTCTGTTTACGTTTACAGGATTACTCATTTGTATGAATGTCAACACTTATTAATCCTCTTCCAAATGATATTGTTTGTTTACCTCTGTAGCATTCCGCTACTTGGAAATAATTCAGTCATCCTTATAATGTCAAAGCGAGAATTTCGTACGATTTTCTTTTACGAGTTTAAACTCGGCCGAAGCGGAGCCCAAACGGCTAGAAACATTAACCAAGTCTGGGGCGAGGGTTGTGTTAATGAGTGCACTGTGCAAAGGTGGTTTAAAAAATTTCGGGAGGGAGATTTCAGCCTTGAAGATGAAGAAGGTCGTGGAAGGCCTTCCTCTCTTAATGATGATGTTCTGCGATCAGTGGTGGAAGAAAACCCCAAAACAACTGTTCGAGAACTTGCAGAGCAACTCAAAGTCAGTAAAACGACCGTCGCTGACCACCTCAAGGCGATTGGAAAAGTGAAAAAACTCGAAAATTGGGTTCCACACTCATTAAACGATCGCCAAAAAAATCAGCGCTTTGATGTTTGTGCATCACTTCTTTGTCGAAACAAAAATGACCCATTTCTGGCCAGAATTGTTACATGTGACGAAAAGTGGATTCTCTACGATAACACTAGACGTTCTGGACAGTGGCTCGACAAAGGAGAAGCTCCAATACATTTTCCAAAGCCCCCAACTCATCAAAAAAAGGTAATGGTTACGGTATGGTGGGCTTCATTTGGTTTAATACACTACAGCTTCTTAAATCCTGGCGAAACCATCAATGCTGAATCATACTGTAACCAAATTAATACCATGCATCAGAAATTGGCAGTAATGAAGCCCTCTTTGGTCAATCGGAAAGGGCCCATTTTGTTGCATGACAACGCTCGACCACATGTGTCACGTGTAACGTCACAAAAATTATTGGAGCTTGGCTATGAAACTTTGCCTCACCCACCCTACTCTCCGGACCTCTCGCCTACTGACTACCATTTTTTTAGACACCTGGACCACTACTTACAACACATAATATTCAAAAATCAAACGGAACTGGAAAATGCATTTATTGACTTTATCAATTCTAAAAATTCTGAATTCTACTCAGACGGAATTAATAAGTTACCAACACGTTGGGAGATTTTGATTAAAGAACATTGCTTTAAAGTAACTAGTTTCTTTTTTTTTGTTTAATACCAAAATCCTGCATTATTTTCCGGACAACCCAATAGTTGCAAGAATCTACATGCTTAGTATGGCATCGGCACTCCTCTCTTGTAGATGTAGATGTAGATGTAGATGTAATATTCGGGGTGTAATGTACTGCGCCCTTTAATAGTTATTGTAGACCCCGTTCTCTGCCTGTACATCGGTGAGTCCGATTTCATCAAGAAACTTGATAAATAGGCCCGGTTTCAATGGTTGAAGCTCTTCTATGTTCACATTATGCACTCCTCTCTTAGTTTCCATTGAACGTTGAAATGGACTACCCTTGCAGATGACAGTGAATTGTGAGCCGCTGCTCTGGCTTATCCTTCGAATTTGGGCTTAAGTTAGCACAAAGCGTTCTGTACCTCGGCCAGGCAATTTTGGCTCTGGGTAATTGTAATTAAATGGTGATTCCATGTGAACCGCTCATCTAGTGCGACCTCTAGGTATTTAGCTTCTTTATAGAATGGAATCGGTGAGCCGCTTAGGCTTGGAATTTTTCCCTTCACGTCACCCTTTTCCTTGTAAACGTAATCAAGGCTTTCAAGCAATTCAACACTAATGGATAAGAAGAAAAGTTTGAGAGAATTCATTATGAGAAGTTATGAATCATAAATATGGTTCATGCGCTGTAAACCACTAATGTAATCCATTGACCGAACCTTTGCACTGCTGCTCCTTGTTGAAGCATGTAAAATCATCCCGCTTGTACAGGGTTCGGTTAAACATAACATCATAATCATCCATTTTTACCACGATTATCAATTTTAATATAACTGCTTAATCTCAAGAGCTTACTGTAAAGTTTTGGTGATGCAAACGGCGGCTGGCAAGTTTTAGTACCGTCGCCATTCGAGTAGCAGATGAGGCCGGTGTCGCAATCGGAGTGGTGTCTGCAGAGCTCGCCTTGACCTAGGCCGTCCAGAGGAAAACAGGAACCAACTGAAACACCGAAAGTATGTTTTATAGTTATTTTCTCGATCCTTAAAATTTGTTGCATAAGAGGAGGATCTAATAATTGACTATTTTATCAGGACATTGAGCAAACTGCCCTGTTTATGTTTTTGACGGGCGTAGTAACGACATTCCAATTGTTGGACATTTATCATAATAAGTTTACAATAATGCTGGAGCCAAGAGTCTTCCTTTAACTGCTAGATATTTGAAATAAAAATAATCAACTTACCATCTTGATCGCGAATAATGCAGACGAAACTGGGGCAGCAATGCTCGTTAGCCATGCACTTCCTTCCAAAACAAGGGTCTGACGCTTCTTGAAGTTCTTGTAATGCTTCCATCGAATTAGAGTTCTGAAAAACAAACATTGACGATTTGATAAATACGTAATAATCAATAGTTTGCGCCAACTTTTGCTTCCCTTGTTTGAGTCTGATTAATTAATCCATTTGGGAATTTAACAATTTTGCTAATTGGGAAAAACATTTCCTTCCCGAGTAGTTTTAATAACTTTCACGATAAGTTCAGATGTTATCCAATTATTTTATAACCGTCATCATGGTATCAACATAATTACTAATGAATATTTATTTTTCATTTATAGGTAGAAACAAGAAACAACAAGAAAAATACCTAGTGGTAATTAAGCTGACTGGTAACTGGTATTTGGAAAGAGAATTGAAAACGAACCGCTTGAATTTTCCAACGAAGGTGTGTGGTTAAATATGTTTCTGTTTAATGTTTCTGTTGTTAAAAAAAAAAATACTTTCAACAAGTAACCGATATCAATTATCTCTTCTCTGATCCCCATGGCCACGGCCTTTTTGGTTAACCGAAATTAGGCCGCGTTAACACTTGGTAATTGCGTAAGATAACTAATTTAGGGTTAAAGGTAATTGCACAATTACTATTGACAATGTTATCAAACTAGATTCACGAAGTTCAACGACAACAAAACAGGGGACGGTGCCGTTAACATGAATTAATACGAGGCTATGCAAATTTTGGGAAAATCTGCAATTTAAGCGTTGTAAAGTGAAACGGGCTTATTCACAAATGGAGAATGAAAAAAATGACGGAAAATTAAACAATACTTTATGTACGGATGAATTTTATGGAAGCTTAATTAATTCTTTTCACGAAAGGCTGTGTAAATGTTTTCTATCTTCTTCTTTTTTTATTCATTGTTTTAATGAACAAAAGTCTTCACCATAATGCTCAGCTTTCATGAAAATTTTGAATTACTACAACGGCTTTTACCATAAAATCTACGCTTTCGATGAAAATTGACATTAACAGGTAATCAATAAGAATGAATTTTCATCAAAAAATTGATTAAAAACATTTTAATCCTGATTGCACAGGGGCGGCGATGGCCACAACTGAGTAGACGTTGACACGGTGTTCATCACTGGAAGGTAAGGGACCTGAGTTCGAATCCAACGACCCTGCATTCGTACCTGACATTATTTTCAAAAACCCGACACCCGAGGGTTCACATAATCTCGTATTTGAAATACCCTCCTTAAAAAAATCCTGATTTTCAACCCTGCCTTGGGGCCGCGGTAGCCGAGTGGTTAGCGTGAGAAACTCTCGGCTCGTAGACCACGCGGTCGTGGGTTCAATTCCCGCCGTCACCTCTGGCTTTTTTTCACGTTACCCTTCCCCCCTAAAACAAATACGCATAAATAAACATATAACATTGTCATTGGCTAATATGCTAGAACATAAAGCCGTTAAAAAAAAATCTCTCAATCATCGAATCGTGTAATATAATCCTCAACCATGAATTTGGACTGATCATTCCACTGTTCAATAGTGCCAAAGAGTTGTGGACACCATTGCATTCTCCCAAAAGAAGGACGGCTGCATGGCTGTCTTCTTCAATTTCGAACGGGCTTTCGATCAAGTTTAGAACCTGGGTTCGCTCTGGAAACTCAAAAGCACAAACTTCTTCATCCTGAAGTTCTACTTGGCCGACAGGTAATTTTTTTTTACAAAATTGAGAGAAATTTAGAAGAAAAACCTCTATCTGGATAAAAGAGAGATAAAAATCTACCCTTCAATAAGAAAAATTTCCTCTTTTGTAAAAAATGCAGAAGCCAGATTTGCAATCATTTCCTTTGACACGTGCGCATTATAATAAACATGGGGGTGAAATATACGCATTTCTTATTCATACGACCTGCTCATACCCCATTTGAGGGTAAGCCTCGACTATCACCCCTTAGTTTCGAAGAGATTTGTAACATAGCTGTTTTATGAACCAGATTATGCAACTTGATTCAATTTCAACATAGGCCGTATACAATTAAATATTGCTGCTATGTTTACAATATAAAAGAAAAAATGGTTTAATTACCAAAAAAATTATCAAATTGGCTAAACTTTAGGCCTAACTTAATTAACACTTTACCGAAGTCATAATATACAAAGTTAATTAACCCTTTCTTGCCCAACGTTGCCTCAGGGTAACATCAACTTTCCGAAATGTTGTTTAAGGTCAGCAGGAAATCCCATTAATTTAAGGCGGGTCCAGTGTTTTTTGATCACTGTTTCATCCCTTCTATTAGCAACACTGATTTTTTTAGCGCCAATCTAAAATTTCCATCTTGTAATCTTCCATCTCCAACCGGCTTTTCACCCCAACTTGAATCGGTTGTTATGTTAGCTAAAACATGCAAAATTTGATATACAGTGTATAATGTACCCCTTCCTTGCTTCAGGGTAATGCCAAAATTAGCAATTTTGTTTAATATTGGCAGGAAATTCCGCGAGTTTAGAGTGGGCAGTGTTGTACCTACCCGTGTATTGGCAACACTGATTTATTTGGCGCTAAACACTAAACTCACGGGGTTTCCAGCAAACCTTTTAACAAAATTGCTAAAATTCGTCTTGCTCTAAGACCTAAAGTGTTAATACGCCATGTGAGACTCGTCAACCTTTTTCAATTTCAATTAATTATTCCTTTTACGTAAAGTCTTGGTTGAGATGAAAAAGTTAGTGTCACGTGCGAAATTCCTTCGGCGGTCGTGGGTTCGAATCCCGCTCGTGACACTAACTTTTTCATCTCAACCAAGACCTTACATAAAAAGAATAATTAATTGAAATAAGTAATTTGTCCAATTGGTTCACTAAACATAATGGATTATTTTTTCAATCTTTTCATATCAAAATTTATTCAAGTTGTGTCATTATAAACATACATTTTATTATTATTTTAAGTGTTTTACCTTTCTAAACTAGTTGTTACATGATTTTTTTACAAAAGTTATCTCTCTTCTTATGTTATATCAAAATGATGAAACGCTCTTGAGCATAAGGCCTGGCATGAATACAACAGATAGAATGTTAAGTAAAAACTATAGGACAGTTCATAGTATTAATAGTAAAAAATATTGATATACTTTTAATTAATAAAATTTGATGTAATTCAATTAAGTTTTGAATGTATCGCATCAGGACATCATTTTGAAATTCAACCCGATGTCACGCACTTGAATATTTTCATTTTCTGTCCCTACGTTTAATTTTCCTGATCGATAAGATCGCAGTAATCCGAACCAAGAGGCCTTCCCCTGGATTAAATTGCGTCGCAAAACGGTAATAAATTGGATAAACACGATCGTATCCTCCTCTCTATCTCTGGAATGGTATCGCCTTAAGTTGGGGTCAATTTGCTCTGGAAAGCTCCCCGGAGGTTTGGTAAAGGTCCTCAAAAACGATATCGACCCCGAGAGACTATTTTCTTTTACCTTAGGTTCATTGATTTTATCCAAATGAATTATTTCCGCACGAGGAAAGCTTGCCAAATTAAAACAATGCTATCAAGTACAATTATCCGACTGTAATTTGTTTATAGAAAACAACAGATAACGGCAATTTTGTGTATTTAACATCGTAATGTACGAACTACGTAATAAACTATATATTTGATAATCAATGTTTAGCGGTCATATTTGACCTTATGAATTATTTCAATTAATTATTATTTTGATCTAAGGTCTTCATTTAGATGAAAAAGTTAGAATCACGAGCGGGATTCGAACCCGCGACCTTCGGCTCAATACGCCGCAGCTGTAACCACTTGTCACAATAGCTCAACTGTTTAGACCAGCGGCGGATTGAGCCGAAGGTCGTGGGTTCGAACCTCGGTCGTGATACTAACTTTTTCATCTCAATTAAGACATTAGATAAAAATAATAAATAATTGAAATAAATAATAATACAGTTTCTACATAAATTTATAACACTGTCACACAATTACTCAAACGCATTTAGGCATTGCGCCATCTTCAGTAAGTTTTTCCAATTTTGAAATGCTTTTGAGTAATTAATTTAATTTGACCCAACATTGCTACACTAACTCAGAACCCATCTTTTTATAAAAGTATGTAGTTCAGTTTTTAAAAAATATAAACGACGAGAATGTTTCCCTTTAAAATTTATCTATTTTAAGATTTTAAATAATTTTGAGGTAATGTCAGTTTCATGAAAGAAAACATTGTTTTCTAAATATGCTCAATTGACTTGAAAATACCATACATGAATGCCAATGCGTCCGGGTTATAAGCAGGTCGAGGCAAATCGACGGGTTTTATTCCTGTATTAAATGCAATCCCTCGCATAAAATCGTCCTCTTGTTTACACTTCGTCAAAAAAAATGCTTAGAAAATTATTGAAATGCTAAGTTCAGTTTTAAGCCGGTGTCATATGGAGCAGGCTCAAAATGCAAACTCTTCTTTCTTGGTAAACCTATGGTTAACCCACTTGTAGGTGTAACTTGTTAGCTTTTTTGGATAAAATATACTAAAAAAACATTTTCACCGCTTGATATCATTATTCTCCAAAATTGGTTATTATTTTTGTGAGATTTTGGAGGGGATTGTTGCTTGATAATTTGACCAATTATGTCGACTATTCTGAACATCGATTTAGTTTTGTGCATATTAGCATTTGAAAGGTCAAAGGTACATCATAATGCGATCAAATTTGCATTCAAATCCTGACTCGTGTAATTTTACATCTTAGACATCCTATTTTAGTATTGAATGATCCTTTGAATCAAACACGTCATTTCATATGTATGTTTAAAATAAAATGGTGTCCAGTTTATGAAAAGACAAGTTTGGAAAGGGAAAATTTTCTAAAGATTATCCATAAAGTAATATATTTCCTTTGAGCTTGACTTTTCTCGATCAAAATTTTTTCGATTAATTTAATTGTTGATCAATTATTGCTACTCTAATTTCTAAATTTGAAAATTCCTTGCCCCATTTAAAGAATATTCCAAGCCAATAAACATAAGGATATTAAAATGGAAGGAAAAATCCTTAATTGGCCGCCCTTTGGC